AATTTAATTGAACATTAATTTCGATAAATCGAACATCAAGTCCCATTTAAAATTATGGTCAAAGTTGACCCAATTGACCCACAATTTCCAACAATTTTTTTCTTTCCTGTCGCTTGTGATTTTTTGTTTTATTTCTTATACTCAAGTTGAATTGTGGTTTATACAAGGGTTTTATAATTTTATTAATGAGCTTGGCATTCTTTCATTGGCCTCTAGTATGTCTAACACATACATGGTTATATGTTATCAGCATTTTCTTTTTTCTTGTTTAGTACTGCTTAGTGTTATTCAATCATCCGTACCAAATATGTAAGTGAAATTCACAAGATGGTCATTTATAGTTTTTGTTTTTTAGTCGAAAAATACTATTATTGAAGATTGATTGCATGCAATTATAATGAAATAATGAGATTGACACTTTTGTAAAGACTAGTTTTTTTACCCATGCAATGCACGGATCGTGTTATTTTGAAGGTTGTGTTAGCGTCTTGAATGTTAAGAATTGATGAGAGCTTGTATTACAAAATTTTAATAAACATATTTGTATAAAAGAAATAATGTTTGATGAAGATGTAAGGGAAAATCCAAAACTTGAACAAAGAGGAATCAGTAATTTACNTAAGAATCAGTGAGAGCTTGTATTACAAAATTTTAATAAACACATTTGGATAAAAGAAATAATGTTTGATAAAGATGTAAGGGACAATCCAAAATTTGAACAAAGATGAAGCAATAATTTACAAGATGTAATACAATAATTTACTTGAAAATGATAATTTCATCAAGTTTCTTTTATGCTGAATTAACATAGAAATAAAGAAAAAGCTCACTGCAATTGAAATAAAAACACAGAAGCAGGTAACAATTAGTAGTCAGAAAAACAAAATCAATCCATCTCCAAGGAGGCTGAGCCAGGTAATGGTACAATGATGAAAAAACATACAATAAGTTATAATAGAACAAGAAAATATAGTAAATATCCATGATAGGTAGTAAAAACCAAAACATGTATGATATGTATGAATGGAGCAATTTTGTCACCACCACAACCTAACAGATCTTGTTCGCTTAGAGAAACTGGCATGGTTTGGCCTCAATAGAAGTAGAAATGGTATATCCATGAAATGCAATATTCTTCATGATGTTCGCACTCAAATTCTAAAGGAAGAAATTAAACAGTAAACTTTGAATTAGAGTCTGACAAAAATAAAAGAACATGATGAATCGAATTTTTATGAATTGATAAAATAACATACCTAAGAGCATGCATTTACGTGCAACACATATTGACCTCAAAAAATACTACCAATATAGACTTCAAAGCAACATGTTATTTTCCTAGTTAATCAATGTCACAATTGGTAATCCGTGCTAATACAGTGACCCAAGATTAAGAGATTGCTTTTAGAGATAATGATAGCAAGGAATAGCATGCCACATGACAACATTAAAAGATCTTGATAGACTACAAATTGTACGAATACACTAATAGTGGATGCCTTCGAGAAGATGAGACCGTTGCTAGTAACATAAAACATGTGTCCAATCACATAACAAAATGTCAATGAATATATTCAACTAAAGTAATGAAAAACATTATTAACAGACTAACCATACTTGAGGAATCTACTGAACTGCAAATCCTAAAGACTTTGAGGTAATCTATTAACTCGTTTCATTAATTTGCATGGAGGATCACAGAGATCAAGTACCTACAAAACCAGTTTCCATATAAGGAAATTTTTATGTTAAAGGTGCCGTGAACAAA